GGTGGTGAGCTGACGTTCACCAACGGCACCGACACGCAGGTGTTGACAGCGTCGCGGGAAGGCGTGCAGCTCTTTGCCTCATTCAATAAGATCACGAGTGCGCCAATCACATCCGGCCGTCGCGTGGCGCTTGTGTACGCCTTGACGTGCGACGCGCAGTCGTGGGTGCCGCCAGTGACCCGAGATGACGTCATCGAAGCTTTTGCAACGATCGCCCAAGACCCACCGGATGATGCTTGGCACATTGCGCGCGCGATGGATGCGGACTCGGTCTCGTTCTCGTTCGAGGGCCTTGGGCGCGTCGACAAGGCGCTCGTCGGCGTGCTTGCTGCCACAGGCGGCTACGACGTTACGCTTGTCGGCTTCAAGACGTATCGCGACGTATACGATTCCGATGACGCCGACGAATACGACTGGACGTCGGACGCGGCGCTATACGAAAACGAAATCATCCGCATCCCGTTCAGAGAATCGGGAAGCGCCCTCGACGTCGTCGTCCCGGGCCTCTTGGACCAGAGCGCCCACCACTTCCTCGGCCGCAAGCGCGTAGATGACGACTACGGGCTCAAGTGCCCCATGGCTGCGATTCTCTTTTGGCCCAAGCGCTTCCGCGTCACGATCGCACGCCCGTCGGGCGTCGTGTCTCTGCTGAAAGCGGCCATCGAAGACGGCAAGCTGGACGACCTCGGCCTCGGACTTCACGACTTCGTGCTCGGTGCGCTCACAACATTCGACGACAACACGAGCACGGCCCTCGATGCCGATGCGATGGGGCGTCTCTTGCTCCAGTACAAGGACGTCGAGCTCGTCAAGCGCTTCCTTCGGGATACGCTGCCCCTTTCTATCTCTGACAAAACCAACACGGCGCGATGCATCTACGAGAGCTTGGACACCTTTGGCTGGCCGACGCTACTGCCCTCAATCCAAAGTCTTCTGGCGCGCGCAGCCAAAGATTTTGGAGGCTTCAGTGCAATCTGCCCCCTACTTGCTAGCTTGGCGGGCCTCCCCTCGGAGCGTGACGCCGTGTGTCCGCCGTTGCGCCAGCCGTACACTGGTGAGTTTCTCAAGGCCTGTTGGCAGGCAGCTGTCCTGGAGCCCGCTTTCCGGCCGGGTGCCCACCCGACCCAGTACTCAATTCTCTTGGATTGGTACTTTGACGCTGTGCTACCGGCGCGCCCAAACGACAACTACCTCGGCAAGTGGCTACCAGCTCCGCTGCTCTTGCTTGTCGACAGCTTTGCGTATACGCGCGTCGTTGGCTCGCACTCGGCGCTCTCAGCGGCTCTACCGCCGTGGGATCAATTGAGGTATCTTCCCAGGGCCTTGTTGGCGGCCACTCAGTGCCAGCCATCGCTACCTCGAGCTCCGTACATCACCGCGGTCACGACCGCCATGAGCCTCAAGGCCATGCGCGGTTCTTTGAGCGCTCATGAGACTGCGACGCTGCTGCAGTACTTGGATGTCGTCGGCTGCGTCGATGCAAACCTCGTAGCAATGTGCCCAGCCTTGTCAGGTGGTATCGGCAACTTTCTTTGGGGCGTCCTCGAGTTCGTCAAGCGCGCGCCTCCACCGGCGGCAACTGCGGCTCTTATGATGCGCTTTCTGCTCGATTTGGCGCCGACGGTTCCGTGCACGCGCCGCGATTATTCTGGCAACAATGTCCCAATGATTGACGCACTCGCCGATCTTATCAGTGCCCTCGCGATGCTTTCGCCTGAAGCGGCGCTGCAGTGCGCGGCCGCCTGGCGCTCGGGGCTACCTCCGACACTCGACGCCGTCCGTGACATCCTCTACCCCTTAGTCGAGAAGCTACAGCGCCAGGAGTCGGATGTCCGCTTCCGTGAGCTGCTCGCGTACTTGGCCACCGAGTGCCGGGCAACTTTGGTCGATGGCGGCGCGCTCGCTCCGCTGCCTGCCTTTAAGGACTACGCTATCGCCGATGCCATTGATATGGACGCGACACACTGCGACCAGTGCGTTGCCTTTGTCCGCTTCCTTTGCACGGGCAACGCTACCGCAATGATCTACTGCAACTCCGACTGCAGCAAGATCAAGGCCGTTGTCGCCCGGCACCCGCACCGGCTCATCTTGACCCGCCAGGACAATGGCTATTCGTCGTACCTGGAGCTGCGCAAGCAGACGTGGCCCGGCATGGCGTCAGCGGACGACGCAGCAGCGCATCTGCGTCGCGAAGACGAGCGCCGCCAGGACGAGCAGCGTGTCAAGAAACTCACGGCGCTGCTCGCCGACCTCGCGCCTAAAGTCTCGGTACGTCCCGCACAACCATCCAAAGCACAATGCAGCTCAGTCTCATTCCTGTGGTTAGGGCTCGAAGCGACGCATGGAAGATGCGTAATTTGACTATGAATTTGTGCTGGTCGAGCTTTGTTGAGACCTAATAACGAGGGAATTCCACCATGCTCAATGTTCGAGTGGGGCAATACCGGTAGACGACTCGCCTGACTGCTGACCATTGGGAGTGGCGAGGCGGGTTAGCAACAACAGGACTAAATGCAAATGACTAACTAGCCTACTGTCGACTCATCGTGTCTATCGGGACGGCAAAATTCACTGCTTACCACGCCTGAAAGCACCACATGCGCTTGGTCACAACCAAAATTGGAACGTTACCCATCCCAATTTATCGAAAATGAACCGCCAGAACGCTGCACCTTTTGGTGTTTTAGACCACTCTACACCGACATATGGAAGTCACAGCTCTCTACGAAGACGCCTTTGACAAGCATCTCCGATCTCAGGCGTATGTCTATCGCACCCAACCGTCGTTTCGAGTGGCGCCAACCCTTGCTCTGGACGGCGTCGACGGTCCCCTCGCACACCCGTGGACATCGACACAAGAGCAGCAGCTCACGGCGATGTACACCAAGAAGGTTCCTGCGGACAAGCTCTCGATCCTCAACGCGGTGAAATGGAGCAAGTACCTCAAGCAAACCGCTCTTCCGGCCCTGCAGCGATCGCTCTACGTCAACTGCGATGTCTGTATCGTCTTGTCGCATCTCTGCGTCGACTCTGCCGAGACGACGCTGGCGCCGACGCCCGAGATCCCGCATGTCGTCGGGACGCTTCTCGTCTCTTTGCCGTCAACGTACGAGGGTGGTGAGCTGACGTTCACCAACGGCACCGACACGCAGGTGTTGACAGCGTCGCGGGAAGGCGTGCAG